TAGGCTGGTAATTTTTTGCTCTATGTCTAATATCCATATTTGAGTGAGTATATTGCATGTTTGTCTTTTTGTGACTGGGTTACCTCACTTAGGATGTTCTTTTTTTGTTTCTAGTTCCATCCATTTGCCTGAAAATTTCAAGATTTCTTTGTCTCCCACCCCACCCCAATGAGTAATACTGCATTATGTAAATGTACTACAACTTCTTTATTGATTTTTTAGTTGAGGGGCATCTAGGTTGCTTACAGCTTCCGGCTATGATTAATAATCCTGCTATGAACACAGATGAACAGATGTCCTTGGGGTATGAATGTGCATTCTTTAGATATATGCCAAAGAGTGAAACTGCTGGATCTTGAGGTAGACTGATTCCCATTTTCCTGAGAAACCACCATACTCATTTCCTAAGAGGCTGTATGAGTTTGCACTCCCACTGCAATCAAGGAGTGTTTCCCTTTTCTCCACATCCTCTCCAGCATACACAGTCATAGGTGTTTTTTTTTTTTTTTTTTTTTTTTTTTAGCCTTTCTGACAAGAGTAAAATGGTATCTCAGAGGATTTTTTGATTTATTTTTTCCTGAAGGCTAAAGATGTCGAACAATTTCTGAAGTGCCTTTCAGGCATTGTAAACTCATCTGTTGAGAATTCTACATTTAGTTCTGTACCCCACTTTTTAATTGGATTATTATTTTTTTTTTTTTAGACAATATTTGGGAATTTGGGCATCATTCTTTCCAAACTACTTCCTGCTGCTAAGGGGCGCTGTCATGGGGGATTCTAAGAAGATGCAGAAATCCTGGCTGTAGTCTGTAAGGCTGCTTTGTCAAGCTGTTTTGAATGTAGGATCACCTGGTACTCTGTTTCAGGTGGTCTGGCTTGATCAAACCACATTAGTCTGGAAGGAATTCACATCTTTTCATTTTCTGTGGAAACAAAAATAGAAATCCTTTTCCCCAGTAACTAGTCCTTGAACTTAAATTTTGGAGTCAAAAGCATTTTTTAATTTAATTTATTATTTTACATGTTGATCATTTTAATTGGATTATTTGGTGTTTTTCTGACTTGTTTCTTGAGTTCTTTATGTGGCATGGTGAAGATCATTTCTGAGTCTGTGGGTTGTCATTTGTTCTGGTTGACTGTGTTCTTTTCCCTATAGAAGCTTCTTAATTTATTAATTGTCGGTCTCAGTGTACTACTGGTGTTATGTCAGGAAGCAGTCTCCTGTACCAATTTCTTCCAGGGTACCTCCCACTTTCTCTTCTAAGATGTTCAGTGTGGCTGGATTTATGTTGAGTGAGGTCTTTGATCCATTTGTACTTAAGTTTTGTACATGGTGAAAAATATGGATGTGTCTTCAATCCTCTACATCACCGTATCCAGTTATGCAGTCACCATTTGTCATAAATGCAACCATTTTCCCATTGTGTAATTTTAGCTTCTTTGTTGAAAATCATGTGTTTATAGGTGAGTGGATCAATATCAGGGTTTTCAATTCTATTCTATTAGTCTACCTGTCCATTTTTTGTGCCAATATCAAGCTGTTTTCATTATATATAGTTCTCTACTAGGGCTTGAAGTCATGGACTGTTATCCCTCTAGAAGTTCCTTTAGTGTACAGGGTTGTTTTGGCTATCCTTGGTCTTTTGTTTTTCCATGTAAAGGTGAGTATTTTTCTTTCAAGATCTGTGAAGACTTGTGCTGGGATTTTGATCGGCATTGAACTGAATCTTTAGAATGCTCTTGACAAGTTTGCCATTTTTACTATGCTGATCCTAGTTATTCAAGTACATGGGGAGATCTTTCTATTTTCTTGTCCCCTTTAAATCCTTTCTTCATAGACTCAAAGTTCTTGTCATGCAGATCTTTCACTTGTTAGGTTAGAATATCCCAAAATATTTTATGTTGTTTGTGGCTGTTGTAAAGGGTGATGTTTCCTTGATTTCTTTTGCAGCACATTTATGCTATGTATATATAATGGGACCAATGATTTTTGTTTTGAGTTAATCTTGTATCTGGCCACTATGCTAAAGGTGTTTCTGAGCTGTACCACTTCCCTGGTAAAATATTTCGGGCAATATACGTAAATTATCATTTCATCTAAATTAGTAAAAGTTTGACTTCTTACTTTCCAAATTGTTTCCTCTTGACCTCCTTTATTTGCTTTATTGCTCCAGCTTGAACTTCATGTACAATATTGAAGAGATATGGGGAGAGAGTTGGCGAGAGAGTTGTTCCTGATTTTAGAGGAATTGCATTGAGTTTCTCTCCATTGAGTTTATTGTTGGCTATTGGCTTGCTGCATATTGCTTTTATCATGTTTAGTTATGTTCCTGATATCTCTGACCTGAAAAGTGTCTGGATTTCCTCAATGTCCATTGTTATGTCCCTTTTTTTGTTTCTAATTTTATTAATTTGCATGTTCTCTCTTTGCTTTTAGGTTAGTTTGGATAAAGGTTTATCTATCTTATTGATTTTCTCAAAAAACCAACACTTTGTTACATTGATTTTTTTGTATTGTTTTCCTGGTTTCTACTTTTTTGATTTCAGTCCTCAAATAGATTGTTTCCTGGTGTCTAGTCCTCTGGGGGTGAGTTTGCTTGTTTTGTTTAAGGCTTTCAATTGTGCTGTTAATTCTCTAAGTGACTATCCTCCATTTTCTTCATATGGGCACTTAATGCAATGAACTTTCCTCATAGTGTCCCTTAAATTTCAGTACGTTCTGTCTTCATTCTCATTGAGTTCTAGGAAGTCTTTAATTTCTTTCATTATTTTTTAGCAAGTATGGTACAATTATGCATTGTTCTGTTTCCAAGAGTTTATAGGTTTTCTGCAATTTGTGTTGTTGTTGAATTCCAACTTTAACACATGGTGGTCTGATAAGATACAGGGGACTATACCAATTTTTTTTTTTAATCTGTTGAGGTTTGTTATGTCGCCAAGTATGTGATCAATTTTAGAGGTGGTTCCATGTGGAACTAAGAATAAGGTATATTCTTTTGTGTTGGGATGGAATGTTCTTTAGATATCTGTTAAAACCAATTGGAATAAAACTTCTGTTAGTTCTTTTGTTTCTTTGTTAAGTTTCTGCCTGGTGGTCCTGTCTAGTGGTGGGAGTGGGGTGTTGAAGTCTCCCAATATGAGTGTATCAGGTTTCATATTAGCTTTGAATTTTAGTAGTGTTTCTTTTACAAATGTGGGTGCTTTTGTATTTTGGGCATAGATGTTCAGAATTGAGACTTTCTACTGAAGGATTTCTCCTGTGAAGTATATAAAATGACCTTCTTTATCTCTTTTGATTTATTGTGGTTTGAAGTCTAACATATTAGATACTAGGATAGCTACACTTGCTTGCTTCTTGAGTCCATTTGATTGGAAGATCTTTTCCTAATCATTTACCCTGAGGTAATGTCTGTCTTTGAAGCTTAGATGTGTTTCTTGTATTCAGCAGAAGGATGAGTTCTGTCTTTGCAGCCATTCTGTTAGCCTGTGTCTTTTTATAGTCGAGTTAAGACCATTAATGTTGAGGGAAAATAAGGACCACTATTGTTAATTCTTGTGTGTTTTAGAATTGTTTTTTGTAATGGTATTGGGAATATATTTGCCCTGCTTTATCCTTTGGGTTCTGCTGAAGTGGGATTATCTATTACCTATGTCTTTGTGAGCGTAGTTAACTTCTTGGGTTGAGGTTTTCCTTCCAGAACTTTCTGTTTGTGGCTATTGTAAAGAGTGATTTTTATCCCATTTATCATTTGTATATGGTAGGGCTAGTGAATTTCTTTTAGTTAATCTTGTAACCTGCCACTTTGCTGAATGTGTTTATCAACTGTAGTAGTTCCCTGGTAGAGTTTTTCAGGTCACATGTACCAAGTATCATATCATCTGCAAATGGTGAAAGTTTTCCTTCTTCCTTTCCAATTTATATTCCCTTGTTCTCCTTTTGTTGTCCTATTGCTCTGTCTAGTACTTCAAGTACAATTTTCAAGAGATGTGGAGAGAGTGGACAACCTTGTTCTATTCCTGATTTCAGAGGAACTGCACTGAGCTTCTCTCCATTTAGTTTGATATTGGCTGTTGGTTTGCTATATATTGCTTCTTTTATGTTTAAGTATATTCCTGTATCCACGATCTTTCCAACACCTTTATCATGAAGTGGTAATGGGTTTTGTCAAAGTCCTTTTCATTATTTAGGTAGATGATAATATGGTTTTTTTTTTATTTATTTTTGGTGGGGGCAGGGGTGTTTTCCAGACACTGTTTCTCTGTGGTTTAGGAAACTGTCCTAGAACTAGCTCTTGTAGTCCAGGTTGGCCTTGAACTCACAGAGATCCTCCAGACCCTGCCTCCTGAGTGCTGGGATTATAGGCTTGGGTCACCACATCCCTACTGCTTTTTATTACTCAGTCTGTTTGTATAGTGGATTCATTGATTTGCATTTTTTGAACCGTCCCTGGATTCCTTGAATGAAGCCTTATTGGTCATGGTGGATAATTTCTCTGGTGTGTTCTTGGAATTGATAAACCCATAATTCTTATCCATGTTACGCGAAGTGGCTTGGTACCTTAACTTAGTAAGGCATTCTCATCTTGCTTCCTCTGCATCTGCCTGGTGACTGTGTCTCTGCCTTCCTTTTCCCAAGAATTCTAGTCTGGTTGCCCACTTAAACTTTCTGCATGGCTACTGGCAACTCAGCATTTTATTAAGCCAATATGAGTGGCAAATCTTTAGAGTGTATAAGAGCATCACTCCTCAGCAATTTATATATAATTTATTTCTGTTACTGTCATGTAATTGAATTTTGAATATGCAAATTGCTCACAAATTTATAAGTAGCATAAATACATAAGTAGTGAATTTTCAGCAATATCTTCTGAAATATATTATGTCTAAGTTAGATATTGTGAGGGAATCATTTATTTTAGTTTAAAGACACTTTTATACATTTCATAAAACATCTTGAGAAGCAAGTGAAAATTTCAACTTTTTACTTTACTAAAGGGTTATTATGAGAAAGACTTAGTATATTTGTCAAAATTATCTGTTTTTCTGGATTGTGTTTTGTTCTTGTAACACTTCAAAGAGTTCTTATCAGGTCTTAGAAGAATTATGTAGCACTTAGGGAAAAAGATGCACCCTAGCAACCCTGCACTGGAGGCCAAGATGGAGAAGACCTCCACAGCCACCATGGCCTTGTCCTTGGTGCTGTGGTAGACAGGGAGAAAGGTGACCCAGACACTGCAGAACATCACCATGCTGAATGTCAGCAATTTGGCTTCATTGAATGTGTCAGGCAGATCCCTACCCAGGAAAGCCACAGTGAAGCTCCCCAGGGCCAGGATCCCCAAGTATGCCAGCACACAATAGAAAGAGGTGACTGAGCCCTTGTTGCACAAAATGATGATGTAACTATATGCAGAGTGTGCATCTGCTTCAACATAGGGAGGTGAGGTTCCCATCCAGACTCCCAGGAGAGTAAGCTGGATCAGGACACACAAGGGGATGACAGAGTTATAGATGCCAGAGACAAACAGTCTTCTCATTGTTCTCCCTGGTTTTACAACGCTAAAGGCCAGAATTACAGTTATACTTTTGGCCAAAACAGTGGAAAGAGCCAGAGTGAAAGCAAGTGCAAATGTGATTTGTTGCAATATGCAGGAGGCTGTGCTTGGCTGGCCAATGAAGAGAAAGGAGCACAGGAAGCAGTGGAGAAGGGAGATGAGCAGGATGAAGCTGAGAGTCCTGTTATTAGCCTTAACGATGGGTGAGTATTGATGCTTGAGGAAGATCCCCAAAACTACAGCTGTGCTGACAGTGAAGCACAAAGCTGTGCAGACCAGAGCCTTTCCCAGAGAATCCTTCAAGGACAGGAATGTCACTGACTTGGGAAGGCAGTTGTTTCTCTCGGTGTTTGGGTACTCTTGAATTGGGCAAGGCATGCATTCTTGCTGATCTATGAGAGAAAATGAACCAACATTTCAGCTTCTACAATTATTTACTCATTCCCTATTCACTGCACTATGAGTGTCTTCCACTGCACTATGAGTGTGTAGCCAGGCACATTCTACTTTACTATAGTGCCAAGGATAATAACTGTTTAGAAATCCCCTTACTAGCCCCCGGCCTGAACTCCCTGGTTTGGCCCCTGATCATGCTGCTCCTGTGTCCTGTCCCCATCGAGAGCATCCTTGGAGCTCTGATATATCCCCACCCATCCCACCGTGAGCCTGCCCCCTCTACCCGTGCCCTACCCTACCCACTGTCCTGCCACTCTGGTTGAGCACTGGGACAGAGGGTGGAGCCTATAGTCCACTCTACTTCAGGGACTTCTCAGAGCAACTCTGAACAAAGGAGACCTGCCTATCCACATAGGACCACCTGTAATTTCCACCTGCTTGGTCTCTGACCCCCACCTACAGTCCTCTGCTGGAGTCCCGGGCCTCTCCCAGAGATCGGCCTATCTCTGTGGGTCCACTCTGAGTTCCCACAGGCAAGAACCTTGACACGCAAAGCAGGGCCTCTGCTAAAGAAAGAGGCCTAAGCCGGAGAGTACCAGTTCCCAGTGAGATCTGACTATCCTTCAGAAACATCCCAAGTATCAGCCCAGCCATTGCCCTCTTCTGCCAGCCATTGGCTAGAGCCATTGGCTAGAATCCACACTACTTCGGGGGACTTCTAGGAGTGAATCTGAACACAGGAGACCTGCCTATCCACTTGGAACCACCCATAATTCCCACCTGCTTGATCTCTGACCCCTACCTGCAGTCCTCTGCTGGAGTCCCGGGCCCCTCCCAGAGACCTGCATATCTCTGCGGGACCACTCTGAGTTTCTGCAGGCATCTTCTACTGGATCCTCATCCTTGACCCCATCCCTGGCCCCTGTCTGTGGAGAGACCTCCTATAGAGCTTGGACCACCCAGAGTTACAGATATTGACCCTCTAACTCACATAAGCCCACCGGGGAAGTACCATAGAGAGAGGGGGAGACCCCACCAACACCTACTGGAAGAAGCTATGGGAAGACGGCAATACAAGAAAACACCTAACAACAGAAAGACAAGCATGACACCACCAAAATCTAGGGAATCTACACCAACTAGAACGGAACACAACAACAAAGCAGAGGAAGCAGAAGGTAATGACTTAAAAATTACCAGCATAAAAATGATAGAGGCCCTCAAAGAAGATGTGAGAAAATCCCTTAAAGAAATGGAGGAAAAAACAAACAAAAAACTGGAAGAAATGAACAAATTCCTTAAGGAAAGTAAAGAAAGTACAGAAAGCCAAGGAAAAACAATTAAGCAGGTGAAGGAAACGGTTCAAGACTTGAAACATGAAATAGAGAAAATAAAGGCAACACAAACCAAAGGAATGCTGGAAATAGAAAAACTGGACAAAAAATCGGGAACTACAGATGCAAGTATAACCAACAGAATTCAAGAGATGGAAGAGAGAATCTCAGGCGCAGAAGATAAGCTAGAAGAAATAGATTCATCGACCAAAGAAAATCATAAATCCAACAAATCCTTAACACAAAACATCCAGGAAATGTGGGACACCATGAAAAGGCCAAACCTAAGAATAATAGGCATATAGGAAGGTGAAGAAGCCCAGCTCAAAGGTGCCGAGAACATATTCAGCAAAATCACCGAGGAAAACTTTCCCAGTCTGAAGAAGGACAATGCCATGAAAGTAAAAGAAGCATACCGAACCCCAAATAGGCTGGACCAAAGAAGAAAGACTCCTCGACATATAATAATGAAAATACCTAGCATACAAGATAAAGAAAGAATATTAAAAGCCCTGATCCTGCTGCTCCTGTCTCTGGTCCCCATCGAGAGCACCCTTGGAGCTCTGATACACCCCCACCCATCCCCACCTCCAGCCTACCCCCCCTACCCTGTGCCCTACCCCACCTATGGTCCTGCCGCTCTGGTTGAGCACTGGGACAGAGGGTGGAGCCAACAGTCCACCCTACTTGGGAGACCTCTCCGAGCAACTCCGAACAAAGGAGACCTGACTATCCACGCAGGACCACCTGTAATTTCCACCAGCTTGGTCTCTGACCCCGCCTCCAGTCCTCTGCTGGAGTCCCGGGCCCCTCCCAGAGATCCGCCTATCTCTGCAGATCCACTTGGAGTTCCTGCGGGCAAGATACTTGACCCCCAAAATCCGGGCCCCTGCCAAAGAATGAGGTCTCAGCGGGAGAGCACCAGTTTCCAGTGAGATCCCACTACCCTACAAAACCTTCTCAAGTTCAAGCTCAGCCCTCTTCTGCCAGTTATTGTCCAGAGGACCACTGTGAGTACCTGCTGGCATCTTCTTCTGGATCCTTGACCCCATCCCTGGATCCCTGTCTGCGGAGAAACCTCCTAGAGAGCTTGGAACACAGAGCTACAGATATTGAATCTCAGATCCATATAAACCCATCAGGGAAGGACCATAGAGAGAGGGAAGAGACACCACCAACACCTACTGGAAGAAACTATGGGAAGAAGGCAAGACAAGAGAACACCTAACAACAAAAAGACAAACATGACACCACCAGAATCTAGGGAATCTACACCAACTAGAATGGAACACAATGACAAAGCAGAGGAAGCAGAAGGGTACGACTTAAAAATCACCATCGTAAAAATGATAGAGGCCCTCAAAGAAGATGTGAGAAAATCCCTTAAAGAAATGGAGGAAAACACAAACAAAAAACTGGAAGAAATGAACAAATTCCTTAAGGAAAGTACAGAAAGCCAAGAAAAAACAATTAACCAGGTGAAGGAAACGGTTAAAGACTTGAAAACTGAAATTGAGAAAATAAAGGCAACACAAACCAAAGGAATGCTGGAAATTGAAAAGCTGGGCAAAAAATCGGAAACCACGGACACAAGCATAACCAATAGAATTCAAGAGATGGAAGAGAGAATCTCAGGTGCAGAAGATAAACTAGAAGAAATAGATTCATCGACCAAAGAAAATCATAAATCCAACAAATCCTTAACACAAAACATCCAGGAAATGTGGGACACTATGAAAAGGCCAAACCTAAGAATAATAGGCATAGAGGAAGGTGAGGAAGCCCAGCTCAAAGGTGCTGAAAACATATTCAACAAAATCATCAAGGAAAACTTTCCAAATCTGAAGAAGGACATGCCCATGAAAGTACAAGAAGCATACCAAACCCCAAATAGGCTGGACCAAAGTAAAAAGACCCCTCGACATATAATAATGAAAACACCTACCATACAGAATAAAGAAAGAATATTAAGAGCAGCGAAGGAAAAAGGACAGGTAACATATAAAGGCAGACCTATCAAAATTACACCTGACTTTTCCATGGATACCCTCAAGGCCAGAAGGTCCTGGATAGATGTTCTAAAAGTATTAAGAGAACACGGATGCCAGCCTAGGCTACTATATCCAGCAAAACTCTCAGTCAATATAGATGGAGAAAACAAGATATTCAATGACAAAACCAGATTTTCCCAATACGTATCTACAAATCCAGCCCTACAGAAAGTATTGGAAGGAAAATTCCAACCCAAGGAAGGTAACTACGCCCACAAAAATGTAGGCAACAGATAATCCAACTACACCAGAAACCTAGGGTGAAGCAGAACAAATATATTGACAACACCACTGCCAACAACAAACCTAAATCAAACAAGCATCAACAATCAATGGTCCTTACTCACCCTCAACATTAATGGTCTTAACTCATCTATAAAAAGACACAGGCTAACAGAATGGATACGAAGACAGAATCCATCCTTCTGCTGCATACAAGAAACACATCTAAGCTTCAAAGATAGATATTACCTCAGGGTAAAGGGTTGGGAAAAGATATTCCAATCAAATGGAAATAAGAAGCAAGCAGGCGTAGCTATCCTAATATCTAACAAGTTAGACTTCAAACCAAAACTAATCAAAAGAGATGAAGACGGTCATTTCATATTCATCTCAGGAGAAATCCATCAACACAAAGTCTCAATTCTGAACATCTATGCCCCTAATACAAAGTCACCCACATTCGTAAAAGAAACACTACTAAAACTCAAAGCTCATATAAAACCTCACACAGTTATAGTGGGAGACTTCAATACACCACTCTCAACACTAGACAGGACCACAAATCAGAAACTCAACAAAGAAACAAAAGAATTAACAGAAGTTATGTCTCAACTGGGGCTAACAGACATCTATAGAACATTCCATCCAAAGACAAAAGAATATACCTTCTTCTCTGCTCCACATGGAACCTTCTCTAAAATCGACCACATACTAGGAGACATAACAAACCTCAACAGATACAAGAGAATAGGAATAGTCCCCTGTATCTTACCAGACCACCATGCTTTAAAATTGGAATTCAACAACAACACAAATAGCAGAAAACCTGCAAACTCATGGAAACTTAACAATGTGCAATTGCACCACCCCTGGGTCAAAGAAGAAATAATGAAAGAAATTAAAGACTTTCTAATGTTCAACGAGAATGAGGATACAACATACCCGAACTTATGGGACACCTTGAAAGCAGTGCTAGGAGGGAAGTTCATTGCACTAAGTGCAATGAAGAAAACAGAGGATAGTCACATAAGAGAATTAACAGCACAACTGAAAACCTTAGAACAGAGAGAAGCAAATTCACCCCGCAGGAGTAGACGCCAGGAAATAATCAACTTGAGGGCTGAAATCAACAAAATAGAAACCAAGAAAACAATACAAAAAAATCAATGCAACAAAGAGTTGGTTTTTTGAGAAAATCAACAAGATAGACAAACCTTTATCCAAATTAACGAAAAAGTAGAGACAGAACAAGCAAATTAACAAAATCAGAAATGAAATGGGGAACATAACAACAGACACAGAGGAAATCCATACAATGTTCAGGTCATACTTTGAAAATCGGTATTCCACAAAAATTGAAAATTCAAAGGAAATGGACAAGTTTCTGGA